CTCCTGATGAAGCTGTGAAAGGAAACGTTGAGTGTATAATTAAATAAAAACAACATTTTGGTGTTATAAGGTCGTTTATTTCTAACAAAGAATTTTAGTCTAATTGACGTTTTACATTACCAATATTGTTTCTCAAATTTCCAAGAAAATTCTAGTCATTATATAGATGTGCCCACCATGTGGTAATCAAGTAAATCAACAATCTGTAGCAGAAAAAAACAACATAAACATCTACATTATCAAAATATAGCTTACAATACCGTGTTCTAAGTTGATTGTGAAGTCCTTTGAATAATCTTATTACACACAAAAAAACAAAAACAATGGCGCATTAAACTTATACTTCCATTATGAAGTAACTATTTCAATTAACATAAAAAATTATCAATATAAATATTAACAAAATCATTAATTAAATGTCTGAAACAATGTACAATGGAAAATTTGACTAACAAAAGAAAATCCTATATATTTTTCAAATTTATTCACAGTTTCTAAAATGTCCAGTCATCAAATATTGTTCGGGGGGTTTCTTTCCCGTGGCTTATGGTACGAAAATTTGATAACCTCTTTTAATTTATTATCACTTGTTGTCTTGTCACAAGGTCGCTTGCATCATTGGTGATACTGTGGAAGTGGTCTCAAATGACAGAAAACATAGACTTCTCAATTGTCCATTCTCTTGTTGGGGTGCTTTCGAAAACAATCATGATGGATTACCTATTGTTGTTAAGGTTGGACATATTCAATATGCTGTGCTTCCATCATTGTTCTCATTGTAAGTTCAAACTCTGGGGGTGTAACTGTCGTTTAACTGAATGTGCACAATCTATTAGACCGATCCAGTACTGGAGAAGAAATGTTGACCGTAGTTGTGAATTGACTAAATGTTGACCGTAGTTGTGAATTGACTAAATGTTGACCCTAGTTGTGAATTGACTAAATGTATCTACACAAAATATGGCAAGCTGTTAGTAAAATGAACAAGTATGTTATAAACAAAACATTAAATGTGCTACAGAAGCATATTTGTGCTCAAAATACGTCTGTTCATGTGAAGAATAAAAATACTTTTGTTCATCTTGCAGTTTGCGTATTGCATATTAATAACTTCTAGATCTTCCGAAGTGCATATCTACAGTTGTCTTCAGTATCCCTGTACACTGTATCTGGTATTTACTCTCCTCTACCATGAAATGTCACTAAATCAGCAATATAGGGTAAAATGAATATACGATAAATCTTACATTAAAGACATAATACCTTGTTGAATGACATTCTCTAAAAGGTCGTGGCATGCACACTTTGACCCCACCCGTACACCTAGGGTTGATGCATAATAGACCGTTAAAGATGTTCAGAACTAGTCTGATCTTACATTTTTGTCTTAGCATGAAGTCTGTTTCAAATATATATTCTTGATCAAAATCAATTATTCACACATCATTTTGTGTAGAAAACCTTCCCACAGTGAGGGTGACTCCTAACTTCCCTCTTGCTGAAACTTCACGACCACTTGCTGTTCACATCAATCCATCCTCTTGCCTCATCTCTGGACAATTTCCAAGTTTACATTATCAGACCAGGTCAAAGAATAGTAGCTGTAGAACCAAATATTTATAAATATGCTACAAGGCTTCCAATCAATGAATCCTTTGACTCATGGACTGGTTTCTTCAAGTAATATCAGATAAGAATATCCTCATCTTCATAGTATCGTTTCCTGGATTTATTATCAATGGCTGATTCATCTCACTCTTGGATGTAATGCCTATGTTTTCACATTTATAGCAGTTTCCTTTAACTGTTCATCATTTGGGAAGCAGCTTCAACTTCTTAAAGACATTTGTGTGCAGTTCCTAGCAGTCTGGACTTTTAATATCCAGTTCAAACACCCACTTTTCTGTGGTTTACTTATTCCATTCAGAGTAACTATTTCTATAAATAATCCTTTGAGTTCTAGATTTTCATCAGAGGGAATTGATGATCTAACACTATATAATCTGACTATCCTATAATTCCTGTATGGCGCTTTCAGTTGTTTATTTACAACTTTAATTGATTCATGTTCCATCATCAATTAGATAGCTTCCTTTTAAGATGTACACCTACTTTGCTTCAGCTTAACTGGCATATCCTCATCCACTATGGCACATATGAATTGACTGGGTTTTACGAGAAACGTCTAGACAAGATAAATGGACAGGTTTTCCACATTTTCTACAAACTCAGCTAAGGTCTCGTGTCTCCTTACTCTGCTACAAAACTTTGCTTTAGAAACTTCTTTCTGATGTGACACTAAATATATTGGATTAGGTGATGAACAATGTCTGATGGTTGTCATTTGAAAGGTTTCTTAATGTATTTAAAGTTTATTCTTTTAAATGTGCAAAAGATGAATAGCTTGTTATTCATTACTCCATCCATCCACTTTGGAAATGATTTCAAACTGTGCCTTCCATCGCATCCATTACCCTGGTGTTTCAATTGGGTGATATTATTTAACTGGCCTGCTTCTTGATGAGAGGTAATGGTGAAGTTGGATTAGTCGAAGAAGGTCATGCATTCATAGGTGGCACAGCAGTACAGTGAACTCTCATTAGTTCAGTTATTGACAATACAGATGACTTTTCATGTAGATGGATCTTCACAATGGGAAATTGAATCAACAATACATATATTCATGTTACAAATCTGAACAGCTATTTCTTATAACAAGCATGTATTTCCTATGGCTACATGATTCAGTAATACATACGTGACTTCAGGAGGGTCAGGATTATAATTATACTCAATTTTTGTCTGTCCTGCAAATGAATGCGCATTTCATCTCAAAGGATGTAAACAGAAGGCGGATGTAAATATACTTTGGTAGACATTTTGTACAACAACATATTAAAAGCTTATCAAAGTTTTTAAAACATCTAACGTTAAG